TACCGTTTCATATTACCTGGACAATCGGCATGTTAACCCGATTATTCAAACAATGTTCATCCTCCATTTCCAAACAGGCAATGAGGAGTTTAGGCAAGGTGGTGTACCCTTGTTTTTTGGCTGCCTATACAAGAATCGGAGGAAAAGTCAAACAGCGTGATTTTGTGAAGCAACCAGAGCTCGCTTTCTTTAACAGAGGTCGATGACCATTTCTGCCACCGCAGTCCGCACTGCCTTATGCTCGCTAGTGTCGAACGCTCTCTCGTAGTCGACTGAGGCTGTGCACAGAAGAAGCTGGAATTCCCTCAGGAACTTGAGGAGTTAAATTGAGGTGAAAAAATTGTCCGTCCATTTCGATTTACCCCTCTTAAATCAAACGATATTATTTAATACTTTACTGGGAAAACTTATAAAACCATGCATAAAATAATTTCATCAGCGAAAGGAATATGAAATTAATAAGTGATACAGAACATTTTATTTAGTAACGGTTATGTAATCCTTGATCTTTGCATATTTTTACATTTAATTTATGTGCCACTATGAACAGGCTATAGCACTACCCTTATGATTAAGGATTTATACACTCAAACCGTAACGTCTGCAAAATTGGAACGTGGATACTAGCACTGCAACATTCCTTGCTCTTAGAAAAGTAGGGAACTTTAAATCGCATCACTTAGTTTGAACGGGTGCAACGCTTGACGCGTCTCGTATTATTTTACTGCCAAAGCAGTGCACTAGCAGTCAGCAATGGTTTAAAAGTCAATGATCATAGATTTAGGGATTTGAAAGAACCTAAAAATTATTGCTCCCTGCACAAGAGTCAGTTTGTAAATGCAAAACTACTCCAGAACCCTCATTCAAGTGCCAGATGCTCAAATACCGTGGACTCGTGGCCTGGTTGAACGAATTTTCTATGAATCTAGAAGCAAGAAAGGATTGAACGCAGTGAAGGCCCCTGATTAAGCTGTGATTCCCATACAGCAATGGGCGGATACAATGCAGCTTTACAATAAGTCAACAGTAATTTGGCAGAGCATTTCGTTTGAGATTTTCATTCTGAAAAACAGCATGAAATACGGTTCTTTAAAACATCGATGATCGCGAAACATGGAAATAATGCACCGGCGAAAAAAAAACGAAGCCCGACCCTAGC